GTATGAGTATGATTGTTCTGTTATGATGAATAGCATTAGTATGAATAATAATAGTATTGACAGTAGTCGTATTACTCGCATTGTTCTTATTTGTAATATGAGCGTGCGCTTTCTTATGTTTCTTCTTACTATTCATTTTCGGAATACGAATAGTAATATGGGTATATTTAGTAGTAGTAGTAGTAGTATTATCGGCATTCGCATTATTATGGTGATTAGTCGTACTCGTCATCATCTGAATTATATGTAAGTACTCATATTCGTGATGCCGTGTTTACTCCTTATTTCTATTAGTACCATGGTTGCTAATAGTACGAATAGTATCAATCGTATTGTTATTACTAGTAGTCGTGTTATCTTCGTATTTGTTCAAAATAGTAGTAACAGCACTCGTAGTATTAATATATATATATATACATTTGTCGTACTTTTATTATTAACATTATCACTGCCATTATCATTCGTATTATTCCTCCTCCTCCTCGTCCACCTCCGCCGTCGCCACCGCAGCCGCCGCCGCAGCCGCCGCCGCCGCCTCCGTCTCCGCCTCCGCCTCCGCATCCGCCTCCGCCTCCTCCTCCTTCCTCCTCCTCCTCCCGCATCTTAGTCTTTACCACTAGTAGTAGTAGTAGTAGTAGTAGTCGTAGTAGTAGTAATGCTATGAGTATGTGCAGTATGCTTGCTATGATTTATAAGTATTCCGATGATTGAATATTATTCTTGTTATTAGTATTCCGATTCGTAGTAGTATTCAGATCACGATGTAACATATTCTTACTATTCGTGTTTTTTATGATGTTCCTCCTTATGCTTATGGTCATGCTTCTGCATATGCTTATTATGCTGATGCTGCATCTAAATCGTAATATTGGTATGATTAGTACTCTTGTTATTAATACTATTCTCATAGTATTATCCCTATTATTATTATCCTTCTCCTTCTCCTTTTCCTTCTCCTCCTCCTCCTCCTCCTCCTGTTCCCCACGCTGCCTGCGCCAACTCGGCCTCGGTCGGCGGCTCCGTCGCCAGCCCGCCCCACGGGTGGGCTCTCGCCCCGGATCCACTCCGCATGGCCCTGGGGCCCGACAGCTGGCGCCAGAGGCCGGCATCGAGCAGAAACGATGGGACTGAAGCAGAGGGACGAAAAGTGGCATAAACATAAAAACTCGGAGGTCCGCGCGGACTTCTCGGATCGGCGCTGGACCCCCCCTCCCTGGCGCGCGGAGCGCGCCAGGGGCGGCGCCGGAGGCGCCGCCAGGGGGGTCCGGCGCCGATCCGAGAAATCCGCGCGGACCTCCGAATTTTTATGTTTATGTCACTCTTCGTTCCCCCATTAAGAGACACCGCATCGCCTCGAGGACGACTCGGACAGGTCCGGCGCCGTGCCCACGGCCCCCTCGAGGCGCTCGACTCGACTCTGCCGCGGCTGCCGGCGCGCGAGGGCGGCCGAGCCGGCGTGCGGCGGCGGGCCGCCGCCCAGAGGGCCGCACTGAGCGCGCGGCCTTGCCGTCGAAGTACTCCCGGATGCCCTGGCCCGGGCGGCGCGGGGGGCGCGGGGGCGAGGAGCTACAGAAGCAGGGGATCGACCAACTGCAGAGGCAAACAAAAAAACTGTTATAGAGGGCAGCGCGGGGCGCGCCGGGGGCGGCGCCGGAGGAGCCGCTGAGGGTGGTCTGGCGCCGATCCCAGAAACCCGCGCGGACCTCCGAAGGTTTATGCTTATGCCGCGCTCGTCTTCGACGGAGGGAAAGACCGAAGAGCGCTCCGCCTCGAAAACCTCTGGGCGAGGGTTCGAGACATCGGAACACTGGGGACACGCGAATACCGTCGGCGGTGAGCCAGTGGCGGGCCACCCCTCCCCCCCAAAAAAAGCCGAAGCTGGCCCGGGGGCCGGAGTTCACCCGCTCGGGGCACGGGGTGGGCCCCATCAAAGATGGTGCGAGCGGAGGGTGTTCCAGGACCTCCTCCTCCTCCTCCTCCTCCGCCAGCATATGGGCACTAGGAGCACAGAAGGCAGTTCTCGATGTGCGATGGTCTGTGCCGCGGTCCAGAACTCTAGGCACTGTTGGAGCGCCGATGGCGCGCCCAACTGCTGGTCCGCGGTTCCTGATCCCCCCCAAAGCAGCTGCTTTCCGTAGCCTGGAGCAGGACACGGGGTCGGTGAGTACTGAGCTGCAATACTGGCGCGGGTGCATATGTAACCCTTGAGCACTGAACCGAAACAGGTTCAACCACCGCCCCCGTCGTAAGTCCCGCCCTGGAAGATCCGAAACCCCCTCAACACTGAGCCGAGCTGGATCCCAACACGTTCCAAGTTCTGCAACAGGCCGCTCCGCAACCCCTTTGGCGGAGATCCGGAGCGCCCCCCCCACACACACACCATCCGACAACCCCGGAACCGACATGAACAACAGAGCCAAAACTCGTCCCAACACCGCACAAGGATCTCCGAGCCATTACACAGATGGCCAAAATTGGTCCCGATGCTCTCCGAGTCTCTCCCCGCCGGAAGTCACGAGAGGCCGTCGAAGGCGGCAGAACGAGCCTGGAAGGAGTGCTCTACCCCACGTCGAATGAGCGGGTGGGAACTGAGCCCCAAGGCCTGAGGATGCCCGCCCCAGGCCCCTCCGCACAGCGGTGTGGGCGAGCATCGCCAACACGCACGAGAACAACCGTGGGCCGAACGACTTGCTCAAGCCGTGGTGGCTCGGGACGCCTAGGCGGCGGCCCTACCGCGCCCTTTGACCCCCCGGGGCCATGCTTGCACTGGGATGGGCTCGTGCCGAGGATGTGGAAGACTGCCTGGCCTTGGTTGTGGTCGACGCAAGATGGGGTCCAGCTGAAAGGGGGTTGTACAGTAGACTCGGGGCAAATGTGTGTGTTGCAAACGTATATTGCGCCGGAGATCTGTATTGCATTGTGTTGCAACGACTGTATGGCGCCGGAGGCGCCGCCGGGGGAGCCCAGCGCGGATCCAAGAAAACCGCGCGGAGCGCCAACAGTTTATGTTTATGTTTGAAGGGGCCCAAGGACACACAAACAAACACACACACACACAAATAAAATCATTCCCCATACTTGCTCATACTGTCTGGGCTTTGTCTTCCCCCCCACTTCCCATATTTTCCTATATTTTCTGGGGAAACGAGGATTCATTGTGTCTGTGCGTTTCTTTTCCTCCTGAATGTTGTTGGTTTCTTCTTCGACCGACTGGCCTCGGTGCTCCGCACCTGCCCGTCGCCGAGGTCGCTGCCTCGGCCGAGGCCGCGGCCCGCGTGCTCTTCGCCCTGCAGGCGTCGCCGCGCTCCAAGGGGCCGGCTCCCGGTCCCCGAGCTGTCCCCTCCCGGGCACTCCGGTGTTCTAGGGGGCAAACAAACCTACCTCTCTTTTGACCACCCTCGCTTCCAAGGGATACCAAGCGATGCCAAACTACGGCCTGTACTGGTCAGGCCGCTTGACGAGGAGGCGCGTGGTATGATTTGGTTTTGCCTGGAAGCGAAAGCGGGGTAGGTAATTCACGCTCTGGTGTTCGGCCCTGCCGATGGCCGATTTCCTGACTCTGTCCCAGGGCCGCTGGTGCCTCGCCCCGGCCGTCGCCGATTGACCCAGCTCCAGGTCGGGCATGTCCTCCTACCAGGGGAGGTTGGGAGGAATGGTAAAAGACAGTCAAAGATGCTCAACAACACTCAACAGTATTCAAAAAAAAAATCGTCCCCAGGCTACTTTTGACTATTTTGGAAGACTCCTCATGTTGAGGGACACGCCCGACTTAACCCTAGCTCTGCCCCTTTCCCACCTGTCCCTTCCTTCGTTGGGCGCCCGAGTTATCCAGGGTAACTCGGGCCCGGGGCAACTCTTGAGCAGGGACCGACCGTCCTGGCATTCCTATAGCCCTACCACGACATGTTCTTAGAACCCAAAAATGTTCGGATAACAAAAGCAATGTTCTTGGATAACAAAAGCAATGTTCTTGGAACCTAAACCCCATGCGGCAAAACGAGACAGACTCCGCCAGAACTGTTCTGAGAACATCTCGTGCAAACCACAAGAGGTGCTTAGAGCACTGTTCGGTAGGGCTATAGGCGAGCCGGGACGCCTCGCCACCGCCTGAGACTGCGGGCTCTGCCTTCGGCCTCTGCCATCGCATCAGCTCCGTCGGCTCGGCTCGGCCCTGGGCTGCCCCGGTGGTGGCGTGCCCCTGCCGCCGCCGCTGCCCCCCCCCGGCTCGCGTGCGGGAGACGACTGCCGGCCGTCTATGGGGAGAACAAAAGGTACCGACGCTGCAGCTCGAAATCCCTCGATAGTCGACCCCCCACCCTACTGAACCAGACCCCCTCCGTCAACGGCAACCTGATTTTCCAGAGCCCCCCTGGTCAGCGCGGGGCATTCCTATTCCGGACCCCTCTCGTCTTCGGCGTAAGGAGAGCGCCCTGATAAACCCGACCCCCCCGCTTTCAACAAAGGCACCCAACAAAAAAACAGGGCCCTGGAGACGATTATCAAGGGATCTCGAAAGAACTCCCCAGATCTCTCCTGGGGTGCGGTCTGACAGGGACTTCGAGGTGAAGCCGACGGCGGCGACGAGGGCAGCCGAGGAGGCCCAAAGAGAGGAGAGACAGGGAGTTAGGGCACAGAGGCATGGCCCTCCTCTGGGCCTCGCGCCGAACCGCCCTGGAGGCCAGGCGCCGCTCTCGCGCCGAAGAGAACGCTGGCGGAGCGTGCACGAAGGTCCGAGAAGGAGGAGGGGGAGGAGGAGGAGGAGGAGGAGGAGGAGGAGGAGGAGGAGGAGGAGGAGGAGGAGGAGGAGGAGGAGAAGGAGGAGGTGGAGGAGGAGGAGGTGGAGGTGGAGGAGAAGGAGGAGGAGGAGGAGGAGGAAGAGGAGGGATGGCAGCGCCCAGCCCCTGCCGCGCGGCCGCCCGAGATCGACACCGCGAGTGCTGCGTCGCCTGCCAGGGGTAGAACGTCGCCCTCGCTCGGACGTCCACTCCCTGTGCTTTTTTCGGCCTCGCGCGTGGCTTTTGTCGCCAGATGATCAAGGATGCTCCTCGATGGTTCCCACCGGGGAGAAAATGCACACGTCCGAGCGATGCCAAGTATTAAAGTCGGCCCGTGTGTCATGAGGATGCGCGGCGCGATAGGGACGCAAAAAGGGCCTCGGACGCCCACTTCGAAGCTTTACCGAGCGGAGCGCGGCTGTAACGAGAGCGGCCACGGATGCCCGGAGGCGCCCGCGGACTTCTCGGCCCGGCGCTTTCTGTCGCCGCCTCCCCGCTTGAAGAAGAACAAGGAGGAGGAGGAGGAGGAGGAGGAGGAGGAGGAGGAGGAGGATAAGGAGGATAAGGGAGGAGGAGGAAGAGGAGGAGGAAGGGGCAAGGATGCAAGGATACCCTTGGGGAGGCTGCCCATCCCTGCTGTGCGGGCTGACTGTACGGCCTGTGGCGACGCGGGATCAGAGGGGCAGAATTCATGCTGTTCCCGTCGTACTTGAGGACCACATCCCAGAAATAATTTCGAGCACCCAGAGAAGTATCGACACAGTGTCGAACGAGCATCGCCTCCCAGGGCCCGACACGCGAAGACCCTCCAGTTTCGGTACTTCCCTGGTGCTCGAAATGCTTCCTGGTGGTCAAGGCTAAGAGTAGGCTGGAACATCAGAAGGGCAGGATGTATGCTCCCCTCTGGTGAATTTTTTATTCGGCGTTTCGACATTGGGCGGAAGTGGGGGGAAAGGGGGGGGGTCCTGGCTCCGGACCTCTGCTTGGTGCCATTGTTTGCAGCACTGCGTCCTGTGGGGGAGCCTCCACCTGCTCGAAACAGGTGCTAAAAAGCAGCCAAGGTCTACTCCAGGGGGGGAGAGGGGGGGGGGGAGGGGGGAGGGGTGCGGCGGCCCACCCACACTCCCCTCTGGCGGGGGCGGGGGGGTCTGATGCGCAGTGCTCTGGAGACTGCAGGCGGGACTCGACGTCGGTGCGGGCCTGGCCTCAGATCGGGCGTGTCCCCCAAGAGGGATCTCGGAGGAAATACCGATATATACATCTATAGATCTATATATATATATATAGATATATGTATAGATATGCAGAAAAAAGAAAGATTCGACACACCTTCCACAATAGTCACACAAACAAACAAAAAATAAACGTCCCCAGGTGATCTTTGGACCAGGCTCGAAGCTTCCTCCCGTCGAGGGGCACGCCCGACTCGAGACTGCAGGCGGGGCTCGACGTCGGCGTGGGGGCCCGGCCGCAGGGATCGTCTGCCTCGGCGCGCGCGGCGAGCCACGTCTCCGACGGAGGGGCCCCGGCGCGGGCCCGCGGCGGCGAGCCCCGCCGCGAGGGGGGGGGCTCTTGGGCCAGCCTGGAACCTACAGGGCAGGTTTTAATGCATGAGATCTTAGTATATAATAAGTATATATAACACATGATCGATGTATGAATAGATTTGTGCATGAACTCAACGATGTGTTTAATACCACATCCCTGCATGTTTAAGACATGATCCGCACGCGGAACATGTCTGAAAACCGGCACTGTATCCCTATCCCTATGTCTGACATCACCTCACCTCGATGCCGATCTTTAAGGATTCCCTCCGTTTCTGAGGGCCCATCACCAAGATGGTCCTCGCTTTCTGCTCGCCCATCTTAGGGATAGGGATGAGTTCGAGGCTGGTTAGGCTCGGGCCCCAGGGGCACGCACCAGCCAACAAACACAACGCCCAGGATCCCCCCCGTTCGGGGATCTTCTGACCCGGGTCAATCCAGACCCGGGTCAGCAGGAAACCAAAAAGCTGCAGTGCAGGAAAAAAAAAATGCAACGCGGGTCTTCGCAAACCCGGGTCAGCCAAGAGGCGCGGCCGCCTCGCGGCCACGAGCGGCTCGCTGACCCGGGTCAGCCAGAGGCGGTTTTCGCAAAATCCTGAAAGATCCGGTGCCCTGGCTGACCCCCGGTTGCACTGACCCCGTCTATTGAGCCCCGACCCCCCATGCTTTCCGTGTGCTCCGGGATCTCGTCTTCCCCCCCCCCCATACACACACACACACACACACACACACACACACACACACACACACACACACACACACACACGCTTCCCGTGCATGTTCCCAGGTTTCCCTGGGGCGGGGGAGAGTAGGAAGGCGCTTGAAGTAGATTGGGATCTGGGCATCCAGAAATACCTACTTTCAACGACCAGCGTGTATGCTTGCCCGTCGGTCGGAAGAAGCTGGTGGAAACATGAAGTAGACAGGCGTCGGAGATAGATTGAGCTTCCGCCCGACCCCTGAGAAGAGGAAGGCGAAGGAAAGAGCACTCGATCTCGACGGTGGACAAACCTCCCTTTAAAAAAAAACCTTTCGTGAAAGCGGCCTAGGACCGAAACCAACGGACCTGGACCCGCAAAAATGACGGCCGCGACGCCCTCTCACGAACCGAAAAAGGCCAATTCGCTAATCGACGTGTCAGGGTAGGAGTCCGATCAACCTACGACGATCCTATAAATAGAAAGGTGCCTAAACTAGACTGGAATCTGGGAATGCCGTGTTTCCTCTTCCCCGAAAAGGAAGAGCGAGTAGCGCTCAGATTCGACAGCTCTCGGCGGGGCTCGAGATCTCGGAGCACTGGGGACACGCGGATCTCCTCGGCATTGAGCCACAGCGGCGAGCCCCCCAAAAAACTTCTGAGACTGGCCCAGGGACGGGAGTTCATCTGCTCAGGGCGCGGGGAAGGCGACATCCAAGATAGCGCGGGTGGTGGGTGCTTCAAGACATCCACGCCCGAACATGAGCACAAGCAGCACAGAAGCCTCCAAAAGTGTTTCTTCCTCGGCTACAAGCCGCGCTCAGAAGCAGGTCAGAAGCCTGGCCACAACTGAGTCGGCGACCACCGCGCGTGACGGCCGCTTGGGAGCAGGGGCACAAGCGGCCCAAGCAGGCCTGCCACGTGTGCCAGGCACTGTCACGAGACGGCCGAAACGTGCACCGAAGCAGGCGCTGCAGGTAGGCATCGGCGGTGCTAAGACGGGGGCCCCGAGGTATGGAGCCCTGGTGAAGAGTGGGTGGCCCAAAAAGGGGGTCCAGCTGAAAGGGGGTGGTGCAATACATGTGGGGCAAGTGCATTGCGCATGTATTGCGCCGGAGAATGTGATTGCATTGTACTGCAAGTATTGCATTGCACGCGAACATTCAGCAAAACATTTGCGTCCCGAAACGCATTGCACGCCCAAAATGCATCACAACCCCACAAATCTAGAGCATCAAATCTATTGCACCACCCCCGTGTCGCTGGACCCCCTTCTGGGTCGACCCAGAAGAGGGGCCCCAGACAATGAAAAGTCGACTTGGGGCCCCACCTCTCCAGGCCCCCTCTTCAGACCGCCGAAGGCTTAGGTCGGGCATGTCCCCCTACAGGCGGATTTTGAAGGAGAACATAATCAAACAAATGAGCAAACATTACCCTGGCGACGTACCCAACCACTGCGCAATGCGAGGCGTAAGTACATCAGGATTGCTACCGCGGGGGCGATGACGCAACATGGACGCACGTGATTTTGCGAGCAGCAATCGGCAGGCTCGCGGGCCCCCGATCGAGATAGAAGGGCGTCGTGGTGGTCACTAACGCAGCCCCCCCCCCCAGGGACGGCGACTGTATACCTCAGGTCCCCGCGGTGCCTCACTCCGCAGGGCCCATCAGCAGCCCTCGAAAGTGGCGACAGGGTCGCAGATCGCAGCCCCCCAGAGACGGCGACTGTATACCTCAGGTCCCCGCGCGGTGCCTCACTCCGCAGGGCCCACCAGCAGCCCTCGAAAGTGGCGACACTGTCGCAGATCGCAGCCCCCCAGAAACGGCGAGGTCTACCTCAGATCCCCGCGGTGCCTCACTCCGCAGGGCCCACCAGCAGCCCTCGAAAGTGGCGACAGTGTCGCAGATCGCAGCCCCCCAGAGACGGCGACTGTATACCTCAGGTCCCCGCGGTGCCTCACTCCGCAGGACCCACCAGCAGCCCTCCAAAGTGGCGACACTGTCTCAGATCGCAGCCCCTAGAAACGGCGAGGACTACCTCAGGTCCCCGCGGTGCCTCACCCCGCAGGACCCACCAGCAGCCCTCGAAACACTGTCGCAGATCGCAGCCCCCCAGAGACGGCGAGGTCTACCTCAGGTCCCAGCGGTGCCTCACTCCGCAGGACCCACCAGCAGCTCTCGAAAGTGGCGACACTGTCGCAGATCGCAGCCCCCCCCCCCAGAGACGGCGAGGTTACTCAGGTCCCGGCGGTGCCTCACTCCGCAGGACCCACCAGCAGCTCTCGAAAGTGGCGACACTGTCGCAGATCGCAGCCCCCAAGGGACGGAGAGGTCTACCTCAGGTCCCCGCGGTGCCTCACTCCGCAGGACCCACCAGCAGCCCTCGAAAGTGGCGACAGTGTCGCAGATCACAGCCCCTCGGCGAGGTCTACTCAGATCCCGCGGTGCCTCACTCCGCAGGACCCACCAGCAGCCCTCGAAAGTGGCGACGCTGTCGCAGATCGCAGCCCCCCAGGGACGGCGAGGTCCCGCTCAGATCCCCGCGGTGCCTCACTCCGCAGGACCCACCAGCAGCCCTCGAAAGTGGCGACAGTGTCGCAGATCGCAGCCCCCCAGGGACGGCGAGGTCTCGCTCAGGTCCCGCGGTGCCTCATCCGCAGGACCCACCAGCAGCCCTCGAAAGTGGCGACTCGCAGATCGCAGCCCCCAAGGGACGGCGAGGTCTCGCTCAGGTCCCCGCGGTGCCTCACTCCGCAGGACCCACCAGCAGCCCTCGAAAGTGGCGACCGTGTCGCAGATCGCAGCCCCCCCGGGACGGCGAGGTCTTGCTCAGATCTCCCCGCGGCGCCTCAGTCTGCAGGACCCACCAGCAGCTCTCGAAAGTGGCGACAATGTCGCAGATCGCAGCCCCCCAGGGACGGCGAGGTCTACCTCAGGTCCCGGCGGTGCCTCACTCCGCAGGACCCACCAGCAGCTCTCGAAAGTGGCGACACTGTCGCAGATCGCAGCCCCCAAGGGACGGCGAGGTCTACCTCAGGTCCCCGCGGTGCCTCACTCCGCAGGGCCCACCAGCAGCCCTCGAAAGTGGCGACCGTGTCGCAGATCGCAGCCCCCCAGAGACGGCGAGGTCTGCCTCAGGTCCCGGCGGTGCCTCACTCCGCAGGACCCACCAGCAGCTCTCGAAAGTGGCGACAGGGTCGCAGATCGCAGCCCCTCAGAGACGGCGAGGTCTACCTCAGGTCCCCGCGGTGCCTCACTCCGCAGGACCCACCAGCAGCCCTCGAAAGTGGCGACACTGTCGCAGATCGCAGCCCCCCAGAGACGGCGAGGTCTACCTCAGGTCCCCGCGGTGCCTCACTCCGCAGGACCCACCGGCAGCCCTCGAAAGTGGCGACAGATCGCAGCCCACCAGGGATGCCGAGGTCCGCACAAAGCAAGAGGAGACAAGAGGGGAGCGGGAGACGGCAGGCGGGAGGAGGAGGAGGAGGAGGAGGACTGGAGACCGCAGTGCTCTGTTCAGAACGAATGCCCAACCAAGGAGGGCTGGGAATATCCAAAACATACTAGAAGAGCCGTCCCACGACTATGATGTCATTCTTCTTGGAAATTCCTCCTGTAGAGGGACATGCCTGACTTAACCCAAGGCGGGCAGCGGCCACCGCGGGGGCCGCGGGCAGCGCGGCGCGCGCGCGCGCTCACCGCCGAAGGCAGGGCTCGCACCCCGGCTGGCACGGGCGTGAGCCAGGCCTCGGGGAGACGCAAGACTCGGGCTCTCGCCATCGCTCGGACGTCCATTCCCTGTGCTTTTGTCGGGTTCGTGCGTGGCTTTTTCGCCACATGATCAAGAATGCTCCTCAATGGTCCTCGCCAAAGGAAAAATGCACAAGTCCGAGCGATGCCAAGGGCTCGGGGGACTCAGGGTTGGCCTGGCGGGGCCATCGTGGAAAGGACGAGACACCGTCCGAGAGCTGAAGCGAGCTCTCGCTGCAGAGCTCCCACGAAGACTGGACCGTCAGAATCCAGGGCAGGCTGGTCAAAAGGCGTTCGGTCGGGCGTGTCCCCCTACAGGCGGATTTTGGACGAGGAAAAGATAATCAAAAAATATTCAACAAAAAATACAAAAATTCCTGGAGAAATCGTTCCCAGACTTATTGTTTAAACAAGTTGTGGATATTCCTCCTGTAGAGGGACGTGTCCGACTTCAGTCAGAGAGCGTTAACCCGAGTCCCGGCGTACTTGAGCCTCACGCTTCCCCGAGGGTCGAGTGCAGAGCCTGTGGACAGACAAGACGTAGAAGGAGGAGGAGGAGGAGGAGGAGGAAGAGGAGGAGGAGAGCCCCCGATGAAGACACATGCGCACTCCTCGCTCATTGGGGCGGCCCACGAGTGCGCCTCGGCGCCGGTTGACACGCGTCGCTTTGAACGGTGTATCGAGGGGGAAAAAAAAAAAAAAGCGAAGCGACGAGGCGTCGCACGCTGCCACGTCTCGTCTTGCCAAGTGGGCCCGCTCGACAAGGCAGCCCGGCAGAGGAGAGAGGGAGCCTGTGGAAGGCCCACCTCTGCAAGCAAGACCTCTGCTGGGAGGAGGAGGAGGAGGAGGAGGAGGAGGAGGAGGTGAAGGGAGGGGGGGAAGCAAGAGAGAGGAGGGAAAGACTGAGACGAAGTCGACACACTTACCCTTCTGGCGTGGACGCTTGACTCGGCCGAGCGCGCGGCGTGCGCGCGACGAGAACGGCGCGCCGTCTGGCAACTCGCACGCCCCGTCGAGCTCCAGTTCGAACCACACGGCCCTATCCTGGGAAGCAGCTCCATCGACGCCGCGGGTTACCCTGCGATTCCGGCCGAGCGTAAGTCGATGCATCCACCGGTGCCTTGTCAAGATGACGCGGACTGCAGACTGGCGAGACATGAGAATGTGCGTTCACGGGACTGGCGGCACGTGATGCTTGTTGGCTTTGCCCACTCTCGGAAGAAATCGTGCGCTTCGCTCTCGTCGAATGAGAGAACCGACGTTTCGGGGTGGAGATCGACGATTCGAGTGAACTCCTTTCGTCCACAGCTTCGCGGTCTCACACGGACCCATCCATCCGACAGTCGAGACTTTGCGTAAGCATCATCATCGGGGCATCGTTCTACGTCAGTGTACGCCGCTCCGGTGAAAGATATGCGTCGGATTTACGCTGTCCAGCACAACCGCTGGGTTGCAAAACCACTGTTGTGATATTTTCGTGCGGGCGGCTCCAAGGTCAATGGCTCCTCCTCCTCCTCCTCCTCATCCTCCTCCTCCGCCTCCTCCTCCGCCTCCTCCTCCTCCTTCCTCCTCCTCCTCCTCCTCCTCCTCCGCCTCCTCCGCCTCCTCCTGCTGGCCCTGGCCGAGGACACGATGCACACGTCTCCGCGAGGCCAGGGCGCACGTCGGCATCCACTCTCCACCCTCTCGAGCCTGGGCGCAGGGAGCGGGTGGGGGGGGGCGCGCGAAGCGGAGACCGCCAGCCTCCGCTGCGGGACGGCTGCTGCAGATCCACGCACGAGAGCTACGCCGCGAAAGGGATCGCCTCCCTCCCGAGCGTCGGAGCACAAAGAGAGGCGCGAGTCGTCGGCCGAGCTGGGTCTTCGACTCATACAGGACCCAGGCCTGTACGGACGCAACTGGCACGCAGACGCGTTCAAAGTACACACTGTCGTGTCGCCCCTCGCGTCCTCCCTCTCCC